CCTTGCCGAATGGAAATGCGATCCGAGAGGATCTAACTAGTTGGTGAACCAGGCTTAAGGGTAAGGAAATCAAACCGATCGAAAGATGTTTATGGTATTGATCCTGTGGATTTTGAATTATTTTGTGGATCTAATAAAAATTGTAGAAATTTATAAATCATTTATGGGGACATGATGAGTCGCGTGGTGGGTTCGGTTTTATTTCTATTAACAAAATTTGTATAATCTTTGCAAATTTTATTAATACGAGTAAACAATTGTTGCTAAGCAACTGAACATGACCCTGGTGTCTTCTGGTGTTGAGAAGGAGTAGGAGGAGTACGAAGGGAGAAAGCATGTTTCTACGAAAGCAGATGGGTCTCGTAGAAGATAAATGGGGGGGAGGGGACTTTGGGGGGGGGCAATAAAGACAATGGCGAACGAAGGGATTGGTATGCTGAAGATGTTAAGGGTTGAATTCTGAGACTAGGCGAGAAATACAAAATTATTAAGACACTGTTTGGTGACTTTGTGTACTCAGAAGTTTATATATTCTTGCCATACATAGAGAATGATGACCTTTGAATTTATATCCAGGAAGGGAAACGCGAATGAATCAATCGAAAATGAAATTTTTATTGAAATTTTATCGTAACACACCAAACCAATGGTTTGCTTGGTAAAAAGAAAAAGTGAATAACGCATTGGCATACGCTTTTCGATTTGCATTGAACTTTGATGTGCGGGACGTACGTGGTTTAGTTGACGTGATCGAAATTTGCGAATAAACTCTTCGCGGAATTAAAACATTGGAATTCAGCATTTAGGTTCACGTGTGAGAATTTTGGGAAAAGTAAATAAAATTCTTTTTTCCGTGAAATTCAATTTCTCTAATGTCTATTGACATTTTTCGCATGTTAGGGTGACTAAACGTTTCTTGAGAAATTGTCGAAAATTTTCAAAATGTGTTTTAACGTCGTGCTGAAAATTTGATTTCACAGTCGAGCTGATGTATCGGTACTTTGCTTTCGTACTTTCTTTCCCTTTCATGTTTGCCGCCACGTGAAAAGTGTATGTACATATGTGATTTACGAAAGTAGATTTGAAATTTTGACTTTTGGGGAAAAAATTATTTTTTCGGCATTGAAAAATGTTGAAAATAATAAATAATTACTGTTTACCATGAACGCGAAAGATTTTTTATTTTATTAGCTAATTGGGAATTTAATATTTGGGTATATCTTGTGCGTTTAGATATTACTTTTTCTTTTTAACCAGAAAAAATTATTTTATGCTTTTTTTTCTTTGTTATCTTTTCCTAAGTGTTACTTCACGTGACTCACGATTTCGTTCTACCTTTTCTCGTTCGTCAAGTGACCTCATCATCTCCCTTTCATTTCCTTTTTTATAGTGGGTTCTTGTGCTCAGTAACTTTCAGTAACGTCATTTCCGAAAAACACCCCAAAAAGAGAATGGCGTGACATAAAAAAATGGGAAAAAAAATAAAAATAAAAATACTAACCATTTCACCAGACTCCCCACCGAAGCTGATCTTAAAATTATAAAAATCAATGAAAAAGAAGATTTGATCAACTTTAATGATTAAATTCACAAAATTGAATTCACCATCACGTCACAATATTACTTTAACGTTATGAAACATACTCTTCGATAATCAAAAATTTTATCATTTCCGAACCACCCTCACTATAACCCTTCAGATTGTACCCTGTCATCCTCCCAAACGAAACGAAACGTAATTTTCTCACGATTTATAATCCGTGAGGTAAACAATATTTTTTGTCGATTTTATTAACTTTTTTTTTCTCTCGTCACCCTTCCTCATCTCCGCATCACAGCACAATTGGTCTTTTTCTACAGCTTCTTCTTTTTCACACAGGATAAAAGATAAAAAGACACGTGCATGCATTCATATGACAACAGGGGGTTAGCAGCATTGTTCAACAAGATTGTTCAGAACGAAAAAGATCCCTGCGTATGGGGTCACCTTATAATTTTCCTCGCAGTAGATAACAAGGTAGAAAAGGTTGGTTATACGTAAGTAGGTTAGATACGAAGGTAGGTAGGTATAACAAGTCATATACAAGAAATTATATTACCGAAAGCCGCTTCGTAACGAATGCTTCTTCGCTGAGATAAATTTATCCAGTTTATTACAAACCCCTGAGAGGGTAGCTCCCCGAGAACAATTTTCCTGGCAAACGTAAATCTACTGCTTGACAATTTAAAATCAATTTTTGCACAGCTAATTGTACCACGCAATCATTGAATCTCTCCCCGTTAATTTTGTTAAAAATCAGTAAAATCCTCAAAAATTCAACTGACTCCCTGAAGAAAGTTTTTTTATTTTTATCAATCCCATCCGTCAGTCAATTTTCATCTTTAGCATATATCCATCTATTGGTCTCAAGACTTATTTATTTTTCATAGTTATTTATATTTTTATTGCAGAATCTCACGATTGCCGTGACGACTGTCCAAGGGAAATCCGATCGAAGATACATCGATACATCCACACGCCAAGCTTTCAAAATGGATACTACTGCACTGTCCACCTTGAACCAGTTGAAATCTCGTGATATTCGATATTCTTTAGAGTGCAGTGAGTCCCATTCAGACTATTCTTATGCCGTCTATGCCGGTTTTAGCTCAGCGAATGTATATTCCATACATTCGTTGAAATAGCCAGCTTTACGGGTGCTTTTCTTCGTGAAAGGACGTGGCTTGATACATCCTTTATTCTTTTTCCTTTTTTTTTTCCACTTTTTTTTTTTTTTTTTTTTTTTTTTTTTTTTTTTTTTTTGCCGTCTATGCCGGTTTTAGCTCAGCGAATGTATATTCCATACATTCGTTGAAATAGCCAGCTTTACGGGTGCTTTTCTTCGTGAAAGGACGTGGCTTGATACATCCTTTATTCTTTTTCCTTTTTTTTTTCCCCTTTTTTTTTTTTTTTTTTTTTTTTATTATTCCTCACACTCCAAGTTCGCGATTGAACATCCGGCTCCTGCTCGCTCGCGACATCACTCAATCAGTAAATTGCAAGACTCTCTTAAGGAACCATGAATAAGAGATGAAATCGAGACTCGAAGATCTATGCTAATGTCTTGGAGACTCAATGAATAATCAGGTACTTCAAAGGCGTAAAGAAATAACTTGAATTTTGATCTTCCAATTTGAGCAAAAGGATTTGCGATAATCTTGTGATTTTATCGGGTATATGTAAATGAGATTTTGACAGACTTACCGAATACGCTTAGTACGTTAATAATAGAGGAAGTAAATACCTCGGGATCCTGTCGTTAAATAATTCATCGACTTCCGGTTCTCCTTGTACTTCTTCTTCTTCTTCTTCTTGAAAGTGCTTTGTCAACGGAGGAAAAAGAAAGGAAGAAAATAATTTAATGGGAATGGTAACTACTCTTTATTATTCCAATATGTATTATACATTAAATTTGACAGTATTGCTTTACGAGACTAACTTACTGATAAGGATAATTAATCAAATCAACGATTTGATCATTGTGCTATTAATTAGGTCGCTTTTCAATATTTTATACAGTCCCATGTAAATGGTTATCGAATGCCTTTCGTGTTATTTTTCGAATAACCAATTCCCGCTTTTTCGGAATATCAGAACGCTTTCGAAATTTTTGGAACATTTAATACCGTCGCGCAAAACGACACCAAGGATAATAATGAACGCGACATGAATTCTGATACGTATTTTATACGCCTCCGTAATATTCTCAAATACAAACCTAATGTACCGGGAATAAAAACATCGTAGGTCTCGAGGATTCGTATAAAAATATATTTAACGCCAATGATAAATATATCGGGAGTATAGAAGGTAATAAGAAAAATATTTACGCTCTGCCGTAATATTGTTTGCAATTTTTTTTTTCGCGAATAAAAGCCATAGCAGACCTAGATACGTTTTTAAAAAATACACGCGTATCCGCATGCTTCACAAACATATATCTTTGCGAATTATAAAATGCGATAATGAATTCCATTATGATATACAAATTTTACGAAAATTTATATTTCGTCATTTATACCAATCTGCCTTGTTCAAGAATATATAGTTAGCTTGAAAAAAATGGCAAAATTCAACAGTTAGTTTAAATACACGTTATAATATATATAAATGTAATAAAGCAAGAAACACCGAAGAGAGTTGCTCGATATTTACACAATCTGTTCTGAGCGACTAGCAGATGAGAGAAAAAAAAGAAATACAGTAGACCGTCCAACTTCGTAGAGACGAAATTCCTTCTCGTTAAAATTTCAGGAAAATTCAAAGCCCGTAAATAAAACCAACTCCAAGCTTACTTTAAAGGCATATGACTAAAGCGCTAACGCAATTTACAAATTTATGCCAATTTTACTTACCCGATAGAAACACCCGACGGTGCAAAGCTTATTGACCAAATAATACTTTCGTACCGTCCGTACGTTCGTTCGGACGCAACGATCCGGATCCTCTAACATATAATTCGGCGAAACAAGTCACTCGTGCAAATTCGACTATTGGCGAATGCGCAATCCTCGGAAACGTGTGCCATTCAAAGCAGCGCAGCTTCTATTAGGTCTATGCCACAATGGTATTTCGGTCATTTACCATTCTGTCAGCGACGAGCTAATAGCTTCCCGACGATTTAGAACTCACCCATGGAATTCTCGACGAATTGTGATCCTGTCCTGCTGTTGTTTATTATATATATATATATATATATATACACACAAATATATATGCCTCAACACGATATTTTTTTTCCTTCATATCAATATACACGTCCACAGATCCCATATATGTAAAAGGAGCATTGGAGAACGCAAATTGAATTTTACTGCAAACCGTGAAATGCTTCTGGCAGGAAGTAAAGTGAAATTTGCGATCCGAAAGTATTGTCAATTCCATTAATAATTATTGGGATTAAAAATTCTTATTAAAAAATATTAAAATTGAAATTCATGGTGCAAGTATGAAGTTCTGTAAAAATTTATGTTTCAGGTAGCGGATAAACTTTTGGTACATAATCAGTGTAATTGTTTATGTGACATGAAACTTTGGTAACTTGCTCAATCGCACTTTTAGTATACTTTGATCTTGATTCAGGAGCGCCGCCCATCCATTTCTGTACTTGGACCTTTTTATCTTCATTTTTCATTTTGACATTGTATGGTGTACTGATATACGGTGGAAACTTGCTAAAGCATCCGGCATGCTGTCCACCAGGATCTTTCGGAAACGGTACGTAAAAGCATCCTTTACCAATAGTCTTGCTTTTCGTCCTTGCAGGACGAATATACGTCGGTCCAGGATTTTTGTCAGTGTATGGATTTGGTGGAAAGTAATCGAGGGGTGCACTGGCCGATAAGAATCTTACTGGTTTTTCAGCTGGAATAAAGAATCAAATAGAGTAATATAATAATATTCATATTAAATGGTCGAAACAAATTATTCACCCTTAGTGCTAGCAGTCCTCTCCACGTCGTAAGGATCATTAATATATTTGGGATAAGGACTTAGGCAAATATTCGTATAACCAGGGCCTCCTAAAGGATTTGGTTTGATTTTGAAATTTGGTGGTTCCCGACCAACTGGCTTTTTGTTTGTGTCTTTAAGCTGGGGACTGAAGTAGGTTGGGCTTGTACCAAAGCAACCGTACCAATCTCCTGGCGTCGAATGCTTTTTACCACCGGACGGTGGTAGTAAAACTCCTCTAGGCAAATTAACCTAACAACAAGTAATTCCATGTAACGTGTTCATTAATCCCAAAGTCAATGGTACAACCTACTTTAATCTTTGAAGATTCTTCCAAGGGTTTCGTCAGTGCTTCCCCTTCAAGGATCCGCATAAATTTCTTCTCAAAAAGACCATCTCCAATTGACCCAGCTAACAATTGACGACCCTTCGTTACGTATTCCCGAAATAGTTCGGCCTTCTTGTATTCCGCATTAGGTCCCGGCGGAGGATCGTCGAAGAATCCTTTTCACGTAAGAAACAGATCACTGTCAATTTAATCCATAAGAAATATATCGGAAATATAACCTAAGATTTTTAGAAATTATATTCTTTATTTATTTACCAACGCGATCCAGATCTATTCTACCAAAATGTCGACCCACTTCCTGTAACGTGACCGCACGTCGTTTTTTCATCCTGAGTCCCAGAACACGTAAGAATTTTTCTTCAAAGAAACAAACGTATCATCCTTCGTAGCCAAAGGAAGAAAAGAAATTGTCAAAATTCCAGTCGCTATTTTATGACATCTTGCAAAAACAAAAAAGAATACATTTTTAACTTGGTTACTACACGAGGTTTGTTTTCACAGGTTACGGGTGATGCCCCATGTATAGAAGACAGAACAGGAACGACGGAATCGGAAAAATAGTTTGGTTGGGGTTGACCAATCATCTTCACAAATTAGGTGTTTGGAACATTAAAATAATTAATTAAATCAATTAATGTAAAGTATTACCACTTAGAAATCGGAAATTCTGGCCAAACATATTTAGAAGTACTGGAAGTTGTCCAAAATTGTGTGCGCGCACGTTCGTCGCGCAGGACTCGGTGAGTGGGAGCAGCCGGAAGGGTGGGGGAGCGCTTGAGGCAGTGCCCCGACTCGGAGCGCTCATTCTTCCTCGAGCTGGTCTCCTATACTGGTCTCTTGGAAACACCTCTCTTATCCTTTTCCAACCTTCATCATTTTCTATATTTATTTCTTCCTTACTTCCTAATTCATCTCTTTCCTCATTTCTTCTCCACTTTTATAACTCTATTCCTTACTTTTCTACTTCTTCAATTCTTTATTTCTATATCCATTTCCAACATTCTTCTTCTTCTATATTTATTTCTTCATTAATTCCTTACTTATTTATCTTTCATTCTTCACTTTCTTATTTATCTCTTTCCTCATTTCTTCTCCACTTTTATAACTCTATTCCTTACTTTTCTACTTCTTCAATTCTTTATTTCTATATCCATTTCCAACATTCTTCTTCTTCTATATTTATTTCTTCATTAATTCCTTACTTATTTATCTTTCATTCTTCACTTTCTTATTTATCTCTTTCCTCATTTGTTCTCCACTTTCATAACTCTATTCCTTACTTTTCTACTTCTTCACTTCTTTATTTCTATCTTCATTTCTGATTTCTCGTTTCACTCTGATCCCCCTCACTTTCCATTGTGATTGTCTCACTTTTCCTATATTTATTTACTTCTTTACTTCCTTATTTCTTTATATCTCATTCTTTACTTTCTTATTTATCTCTTTCCTTGTTTCTTCTCTACTTTTATAACTTTACTCTTTAGTTTTCTACATTTTGACTTCTTTATTTCTATCTTCCCTTCTGATTTCTCGTTTCACTGTGTTCCCTCTCACTTTCCATTGTGCTTGTATTACTTTTCCTATATTTATTTACTTCTTTACTTCCTTATTTCTTTATATCTCATTCTTTACTTTCTTATTTATCTCTTTCCTTGTTTCTTCTCTACCTTTATAACTTTATTCTTTACTTTTATACATTTTGACTTCTTTATTTCTATCTTCCCTTCTGATTTCTCGTTTCACTGTGTTACCTCTCACTTTCCATTTGCTTGTCTTACTTTTCCTGTATTTATTTCTTCTTTACTTGCTTATTTCTTTTTATTTCATTCTTTACTTTCTGATTTATCTCTTTCCTTATTTCTTCTCTACTTTTATACCCCCCATTCATTACTTTTCTATTTTTTAACTTCTTAAAGTTTATCTTCCTTTATAACTTTTCGTTTCGCTCTGTTCTCTCCCTCTTCACATTGT